TGTTTTTGATGTGTTCTGATGTACATTAGTCTTGAAGACTCAACCATTGTATATCCATCAACGACAAATTGTTGGAACAATCTTCTACTTTGGAGGATGAAAGTGCATTCTGTGCTCCTCTCATGCAGTCTGTATGCCAAAAATTCCCTAATGCTAACACTTCGACGACCCTTTGTAGAATAACTATTGCCATCACAAAAGTTAATATCCTCCCTATAACCATCTTCACCAAAGGGAAAGAGAAGTGGATATTGCAACCCCAAATATGCAGGATTCAATTCATTTATACGCTTCAAAAGCCCTCCCTGTGTTTCAACCATTATATCTCTTTCACCAAGTGATTCATCAAAATCACCTACAACCAAAGTTGCTACCTCTGAAACCGTAGGTAGATTATAAGTTCTAGCATCTTTGTTTCTCCTACCTATCAACTTCAAACTCACTTTTGCCTCGCCACCTTGAACAATCTTGTCTCTAACTATCCTAAATGACTTCACCAAAACATTATGTTCATCAAGCATTCCTCTTAAAGTGGACACAATTTCTTCGTGCAAATTGTTCTTTTTGGCATCGTCTCTCACAGAACTCAAACGGTTAAGATCCTCGTTTTGTGTGTCATATATATATAGTTGGGCAAACTTTGGGACACTTCCTTCTTGTGGCAACAGGGACCCTATTAGATGATAATTCTGACCACCAAGTTTAAAAGTTGGTGGTCCCCCACCCCTATTAACTGAATTATCTATCCTACCACCCATCGATGTGAACGAAAACATACTATTATATGATCTGATATTATGTTGGAAGTGTTTACTCCTGGGATCTGTCCCGTTAATCAAATCATATAATTCAGGTGGGAGGTCCTTCAATTTCGGCAATACTATTTTTCCTTGCGCGCAACAAATAGAGTAGTTGGGGTTGGTTTTTGTAGAATTTCGAAGTGTCCTCTCATCAAACCAGAAAAGTGCTCCACAGTGGGCACAATTATGTGATGGGTCCCCAATATCACAATATTCAGCACTTACTGTGTCTAGAAAGAGAAATTATGAAACAATCTTAGTGTGGATTCAAGTAAAAAAGGTCCATATTAATAATTAATATGGTTATTTGATATTACATAATAAATTTTAAACTGGTATGAAACTTGGTTATTTGATATTACATATTATATTTTAAATATTTTCATTAAAAATAATAGATTACAAAGTTTTGTATATAAATTTGACTACATCACTAAGAAATAAAAACCCAGAATTTTAAAATAATAGTAATAACAATCGCACCTTCAACTTGTTGTGGTTCTGATGGAAGATCATTCTGTATATGTGTTGATACTTCGTCGCACTTATGCCGGTTGTCAAGGAGACGCACATCTGGGCATTGGTCTACATTATTGATATTCGTTTTCCTCACACTCGAAGAACGATTAAATGGCAAATGCAATACTGTAGAAGTAAGTACAAATAGTACATAATCAATATCATAAAATATTTATGGGCTAATATAAATAGTAAAAAGTAAGAATTACCATTCGTTCTATCAACGAAAGCATCGGATGATCCACTGTGATGGTGCAAGGAACGTTTGTGAACATTACAGTCAACATTTTCTGTCCACAAAGTCAATTAAATATAAACATGCCCTCGATTACATGATTCCAATACAATAAACTATTTCTATAACATGATTCCAATACAATAAACTATCTCTACTACATGATTCCAATACAATAAACTATTTGTATGCCCTCAATTACTATTATTATTTTTAGGAACTCATTTTATGTTTGGAGTAACAATTTTGAATCTTATTTAAACAATATAAGCAAAACTTTTATTCACAAATCTTACTTTGGTAAGGGTCATTATCATATGAATTTTATGATTTTATTACTATCATTACCATAACCAATATACATCACACAAATTATATTTTTAATCATTAAACAATAACTTGAGGCAATTATAATTCGAGTACAATAAACAATTTCTATTACCTTATTCCAATACAATACACTATTTCCGGAAACGTGACTCACTTGCATGAGGGTTATTAGGTAGTAGCCAATAGGAACTCATCCAAATTCAAAAATCCATCTTTTTTTTAAATTGTTGTAACCTTTATATTCATAATCCGATTTTCATAAAAGTTATATCAAAATTTATAAATTTTTATTATCTTTCATATGACACCAATATTCGATATATAAAAATTAAAATAATTTTGAAGATACCATGGGTAGATGTTTTTGAGGCTACAAACTTTTTTAAGTAGATGTATGTTCTAAAATTAAGATCTCGTAATTTTTTATAGCACGTTTAAAAACATTGAATGATTAAGCTACTTAGGCTGAAATTTGTGAAATTCTGATTGAAGTGGCTGGACTGGCTGACTGAAATTTTGTTAATACTATGAAAAATTATATTTACAATAATTTTTATTAATACGATGAATTTTTTTGAGTGAATTCCCCAAATAGGAGCAAAACATAGGCAAAATACAAAAATAGGAGTATCATGTTTTGAATAGGAGTAAAAAATATTTTCGAACCGTTCTCGTTTTGTTGTTATTTTTAAAAATAATTGCTCAGATATGGATTTTTTAATAGATGTATGTAGATCTCGGAATCTGTGGTTCGTGCATGTTATTATAGTAATCCTAGATCATTTTTCTGCGTTTAGATCTATTTGGATCTATAAATCGTTTGCATAAGATGTACTGCATTTGTTGCTTTTAGATCTAAGGGTCTATGCAGTTGTGATGCGTGTATGTCTTAATAACTTTAGAACCGTTTCATAGAATATTTTTGGGTTTTTTTTTCAGTTTTTATTTGAAAAGCATTTTCAAAACTGGAATTTCTGAATTTGTGCTTCGTGCTTGTTATATACTATCCTTCGTTCGATAAAAGTTGCAACAGTTTTACTTTCACGGTTGCCAACGCGCAACTGTGATTGCAATTATATTTATTTACGTATTAGTAACCATAAAAAAAAGTTAATATATTGGAAATTTACATTAATACAAATTTATTAATATTTTTTTACATAAAATTTAGTCAAAGTAAGGTGTGTGAATAGTGCAAAAATTCCAATGTTGCAACTTTAATGGAAAGGAGGAAGTATTGCATTTAGTATTGCCAATCTACCCCAATTACATCCCAGCCCATTAAATCCATTTAATCTGTACAACCCATTAATATCCGTCCAGTCCATTGTTCTTCAGCCCAAACCTTAGCAATATATAACCCTTCCTACGCAGTCCGGATAATTCCAGACCACTTTAAAACCCTTCGGTTCTTCAGCCCAAACCCTAGCAATATATAACCCCTTCCTACGCAGTCCGGATAATTCCAGACCACTTTAAAACCCTTCGGTTAAACGGCCACTCTTCATCTCTCTTCTTCTAAATTTTTTGTATGGTTTCTGTATCACCTTACTCTATCTTTCTTCAAAAGTCTATACCTCTCTGTTCGGATAATTCCAGACCACTCTATGTACATCTATCATCTTCTGGTGTTCATTGACATCCATTTTGGATGTGTTCGTGAACACGTTAACGAATTGAAGGATTGGAGTCCTTTTTCGGTTCAATGAATGGTATTATTATTTTTGTTAAATTAGACATAGTTTTTGTATTTCTGCAATGTATCTCCTACTTTTCAATGTTATCCGATGATCGGTGTGTTCTTACACATGTGAGGAAGTATAACTACTGTACTCTGAGTTCCTGGTTTTCTTTTCGATTTCAAAACATTGGTAAAATATGGATTTTTCTGCATCGTTTTTGTGTTTTTAAAAACATTGGTAAAATATGGATTTTTCTACATCTAGATAATTGCTACAATATTTACGAACCTTTGAATAGATCTATCAAGATCTCCGAATCTGTGGTTCGTTTATGCTATTATAGCAATCATATAGCATTAGATCTAATAATTTATGGCTTCGAACGCGCTTGCATAAGACGTAAAGCATTTGTTGCGTTTAGATCTAAGGATCTATGCAGTTGTGATGCGTTTACGTCTTAATAGCCTTAGATCTATTTTTGGGTTTATTTCCAGTTTATATTTATAACGCCTTGCCCAGATGTATATAGATCTATTTAAATTTATAAATCTTTAACTTCCAACACGTTGTCAAACACATGTACCATTTGTTGCGTTTAGATCCGTAGATCCACGTCATTGTGATGCGGATATGTCTTAATGGTCTTTAATTATGTATATAGATCTATGCATGTGTTATGCATTATATTTCATATATTGCGTACGAACACGTTTGTAATAGACATATACCATTTGTTGCATTTAGATCTGTAGATCTATGCAGTTGTGATGCGTATATGTCTTAAAAGCCTTTATCTATATACATCTATGCAAGTGTTATTGTTATGTCTCTTGAAATGCATAATTGTTTCACTTCCCTCTACCCAATGTAATCCTTGTTCAAGTCTAGACTATAGAACTGGAGTTTAGGCCTTGAATATGAGCTAGCTAGATTCCCTGCCAGCCATGTTTGGCCTTCGGATCTGCGTGGTCTGGCAGCTCATTGCCTATGACCTATCTTAAATGGACCTGTTTTTACAAATCGGCCTTTCTAAGTATCTGCTGGAAATAGTTGTTTTTGTATATGACTATACTAACACGTATTAAAAATGCCTTACTCTATTAAATTTTTTGAGATTAAACTTAAAAATTAGTCTTTTTTGTCATACCTTTGTTAGGTAGATCCTCGTTTGCTCTTTTACGGTTGATTACTGTGGACTTTGTGAGCCTCCTCATATTTAAGATTGGTACTCTTACATTACCTGGATTTATCACATAGATGCATTTTATGCATTGTAGCAGTTCTATTTGTGGCATCGGCATTATAAAAATATTTGGTATTGTTAAATTAACACTTCATTGTACACATCACCTATGTTATCATACACTAAACACATAACTTCAGAACATAAACTGTTATATATATTACGGCATGCGAATAATACATATAATGTTCATCATTGTCATTTTTCATTCAAACTGCCATTCATTGAACACAGCACTTATGATTCACATCCACACATAACCATCAATGCATATCTCATGCATGTTACAAAAGATTCATGTTACACATGACCATCACTTATGCATTTCTACTCATCCACTCAAATGACATACCTACCACCATATCTGCATTAAAGTACTTTCTGTTTAGTTGTATTATCCGATCTGATTTCCTTGGTATCATAGTTGGTGCATCTACCCATGCTGAACAATCTTTGCATAAGTATTCCATGTACTTTCTGTTCTTCTTTATTTGCCTCATGCAGAAATAATGACTATAGTTTGAATCACACCATGAGCATGCATCCAGTAAAATGCCAACACACCTTTTCCCACATGTATAGCACCCCCCAGTTGAAACTACTTGACATGAACATTCACTCATCTTGAATAGCTAGAATGAAACATAGGTTATTAAAATATACACCCATTAAAATTTGGTCATATGGTTCATGGTATTCGCATAATACATTCATATAAGTAATGCATAACATCTAATTTGTTTTGATATGTCATTTATCTATTTAATTACATGGTATTCACATGACACATTCATATACGTAATGGAGATAGTAAATATGATAATAGACTTACTGTGTTTATTAGGATTCAATGTTGTGTAATATATGAACTTCACTCCTTGTGTTGCCTCCTCTACTTCGAAGGTTTGGTCTGTTTTCATAAATGAGGTAGTGGTTGAGGCGTTAAAGACTATTTATTCTTCTACAATGTCAAGATAGTCAAATACCGTTGGTAAGTAGCCCTTTCTGTCAAACATTTATTATGATTGTGACCTTGGATTATTATTTATTACGACCTTGGGAAGACGCTACTTTCAGCTACTCTCTCCGGATATGGTTATAACTATGAGTTCTTTACAGCACTTTTCGAAATTTCTTTTCCTAGCTGTACTATTCATTAAATGCGACCTCGGGCAAACCCACATATGTACAGTTTTCTTTAAACCAAATACTTTTCTCTATTTACAAAAATGATAAACACAGCTTAGACTCTATAATCTATAATTCTTACAATATTTATATATTTTGAATAATTTACGGCCTGCGTGTTATATAAGTGTACTAAAATTTGTATTTCTTTTATAACATTGATAGGCCAAAATCTAATGTGCTCGAAATACGTATCTTAACTAATATATATCCTATTTTGAAATGGTATTATTACCTATCATGTCAACAGTCATGTTTACTTTTAAAATGGTATTATTACCTATCATGCCCGAAATACGTATATTAACTAATATATATTAACTATATGGTATATTATTTCTTTTGTAATACTGATATAAAATTTAATTGACATCTTATCATATGTATAATATATTACATTAATAGGAAGATAGCAAATTTCTTTTGGGGTGTTAAAGACAATAAACCAAAACACCACTGGGCACAGTTTAAAGTCTTATGCAGGCCTACTGAGAATGATGGTTTGGGCTTTAGGTCAGTGGCTGATATTCAGAAAGTACAGTCTATCTGGACTGAGCTTATGCAAAGCAGATACGGTAAGAGGGCTTTAGGGGAAATGAAACCCACAGATTCTCCCATTTGGAGAAGATTGTGTCTCATCCATGAGGAGGCTGAGACAATGGTCACACGGAGCACTAACTCTATTACTTGGAGACATACAACAGAGGGGGAATTTACATCAAAATCTGCATATAGGGCACTCTGTCCACATGGGGGAAGGACACTATCTAATACTCAGATTTGGAACCCTAAACAGGTCCCTAAAATCAGAGTATTTTTATGGAAATTATGGCATAAATGTCTACCATTTCCGGAGCAGGTGGCAGCCTTTTCTGCAGTTTACCCATCTCGGTGCCCATTCTGCAAAAAAGATAGTGCAACACAAGATCATGTACTGCTTCTTTGTCCTCTGTCCTCTTCAATTTGGAAATTCTTCTCTAATTTGCTGCTGAATGGGGGGAAGTTAGGAAATAGCATTACATTGGAAATCATGAAGTGGTGGATAAGTAACTCAGGCAAAACGTTGGATAAGGTCTATATGGCGATATTACCTGGAGTTATCACTTGGCATTTATGGAAAGCATACTGGGACTCCCTTTGGAACGATACCGAGCACGAGACGGGGAGAATTATTTTCCAAATAAACAAATTCATGTTATCTTGGTGTTGTGCTAACGAAAATCTCAAAGGGAATGATTCATTGAAGAAATTGGGACTGTTACCTGAATCATTTAGCAGGAGGAAACCGAGGATCTTCCGGTGGGAGAAACCTAGACAGTCGCATGTGAAGCTCAATTGCTCGATATTCAGGGGAAATGGAAGATCGTCGGCATGATATTTGTTGCGAGACCATGATGGGGAGGCGGTGGCTGCAGAAGGTTTTCCGCTGGGAGGTTCTACGGAAGACGAGGAAGAAACGCTAAGACAAGCAGCTACCTGGGCGGAGTCTCTTCGGTTTCCAAATGTGGAGGTTGAAGCATCATTTATGAGAGTAGTGGACATGGGCCATCAGCTTACACGGGAGTCCAATGGGCTGCTTTCTTTACTCTACGTACCGAGCCAGGCAAGTCGCTCATCGGATTTAGTAGCCCGTTTGGGTTTTCATGGTCATTTCAGTTGGAGAAGGGGAGAGGTTATGCCAAAGGAGTTGTCTGGATCTATCAAGTTAGATGCATCGGGAGTTCCATACATTTATAATTAGTTTTGTATTCTTTAGCATTCTTTTTGCCCTAATTGGGCTTCTTTCTCGATTTTGAGGGGTTTTTACGGTCTGGTCCCCCCCTCTTCTGTTTGCATTTATCAGTCTAATAATATCTGGTAAATGGCCCCCGACATTTACCCCACTGATTTTGGTGGTTTGCCTTCCGGGGTAAAAAAAAATGTATAATATATTACATACCCCACATATAGTTATCCTTTTTTTAAACTGATAGTATGAAGTTATGATTTCTCATACCGTTGAGAAATTAAGCAAGTTTTGAGCACACATTACAAATTATATATTATTAACATAAGTTTTCAAATTAGTTGCTTATGAAGTATAGTTTTGACTTCACCAACATGTTCACTTATTGTATCGAGATCACCTCACAAACATGCTCTAACTTACTGTTTTTGTTTTTATTTCAGGTGCATTCAGAAACATCAAACTTGTATTTTTTTTGTAATTTACTTTGATGAATGTAATTCATTGGTTTTAGGGCCTTGAATAAGGTGCCTCATATGTAATAATTAAATAGTTTAGGATTGCAGGTTTCCATAGCCACTTCACCAGGTAAATCTTTTAATCCTTCTTTATCTTTATTATCAGCCTTTGTGAAAATATAACATGTATCTTCTGTGATATTTAAAATGTAGTCAAACGTTTTAGGCAGCCAATACTGTGCTATAATTTAATCCAACTTTTTATTGTTACTTAATTCAACAAAAAAACTTCCACAGTTTTTGTGTATTTGCAAAAATGGTTTTACCAAATTTTGTGTTTAAGGTTCTACAATGTTTTTAGTTTGAATATTTTATAAATTTAATTTTCGAAATCTATTATAATCAATTCTTCCCGTTGTGTAGGTTTTTTAAACATATGAAACTTACAAAAACCATTTTTTCGAAAATAGTGTCACCATAAATTCCATTTTCAATATTGAATGTAATTTAGTTAAAAGAGTAGAAAACATTAGTTTTTCGCAAACATATTATTATTGCATAATCGATATTATGGTTTCATCTTTTAACTATATGGCAAAAGTCGTAGCTTTCTTTTCCCACCATTCCTATTTCTTCATTTTAAGCAGCAAATACTGCATGTTGTATGATTTTTGTCAATAACATTTTCGTTATTACATAAATTCTCACTACAGTCGATTTTTATTATATAAAGAAATATAAAAAAATATGTATTTTTGATCCTCGAAATAAATATTAAAAACCCACCTATTTATAGATTTATTATTATTATTAAATTATCCAAAGAATTTCCCCCCAATGCTTTTTACAATCCACTTAAATGAAGTACCGATTTCAATTAAGTTTGATCAATCTATTTTCATCTTAAACTTTATTTAAAACCCATACCATCATTTACCTAAAGTTATAGATTTTGTCATAGACATTTTTAAAAATCTAGATTTGATTCAACTTGAGGATTGTGTTTTATTTATTATTAACAAAAGCTTATTAATTAGTTGCTTAAAAGTACATAATACATTAAGTATATTTCTTTTAGATCTTCCTCTGACTTGGTGTTTTTATTTACATTTCAGGTGCGTTCAGGAACATTATGAATTATGTAATTATTTTTTCTTTTAGTTTAACGAATGTAATTCATAGGTTTTAGGGCCTTTAATAAGGTGCCTCATATGTGATAATTAAATAGTTTAGACCTCTAGGAATGCAGGTTCATAGCCACACCAAACACCAGGTATGTCTATCTTCATTTATTATTATCAGCTTTTGTCAATATATAAATTGTATGATGTATGATTTTAAATGTAGTCAACATTTTAGAGAGCAGAAACCTTTTTAATTAACTTCAACAATAGTTAATTTTTTGTAATTCTGTTTCTATGTTTAACCAAAATCTTCATATTTCACTGCAAAAGTTTTGGTTTGAATTACAAAGTTGCAATTGTGTTACCGTTTCCTTTGACTGTAGGTCTGTAGCCAATATAGTCGAAAAGATGAATTGTAACATTACAATCTAAGTCGTAGGATTCTTTTCACACCAACACTTTTGTACTAACATTTTTGTTGGTAAATTTTCATGACATAAATTAGATGACATGTTTTTAGTGAACACATTTTCGAAATATTTATTTCGAATTTAGTTTAAGTTTGATAAATCTTCTTTTAATCTGTATTAACAAAAATTTGAACTAACATTTTTGTTAGTACGCTTTATCGTACTAACATTTTTGTTAGTAAATTGTCATCACATAAATTAGATGGCACGTTTATAGTGAACATTTTTTCGAAATATTATTCAAATTTAGATTAAATTAATCTTTTTTAATCTGAAACTTATTTTTTAATCCTTATAAATTACACTACCTCCCACTTCGTTTTTCACCATTCGGTTAAACTTAGCCAACAAACACATTTTTTCATCAGATAATTTTTTTGTAGGTTTGTTGTTTAAACTATAGTGATATATAGTATTTTTTGAAAATACTTGAACTTTAAGTAACACAAAACCACATTTAATCTCATAACTTAATTGGGTTTTATTTATAATCAAAACAATTACAACTCTCATTAATAAGAAATAATTGCTGCCAAGAATTTCTATATGAATCAAGGCCCCCTGGACTACTCTCTTCTGTCTTCGTTCCTCCATATCATGGTCTCCTGGTCTTCTTTCCGTTTCGTAGGCCCCCTTCTTCCTTATGATAATGCATCCTTAGAAAAATAGGTTTTGATGTGAAATATAAGTCTTAGGTTGATAATTGTTCATGCCTACAACTTGAACAATGCAAAACAGAGTTCATTATTACAGACTCAGCTCGTAGTTTAGCAAAAAAGTAAGGCACAGTTTTAAATAAATATGTAAGTGCCCAAACAAAATATTCAACAAATTATCAATCCACACTCCTTTTTCAAGCAAAATGTAGCTGAGCCTGCTGGTCTATCTTCACCATTATTCCTTCTCTTGCTTGACGCGGATACTTCTCCGTTTGATGTTAACATTGGCCGAAAAGTGATCATTCAGATTTCTCTTAAGTTGATCGTTCCCTTCAATACCACCAACTGTCCGAATAGTTGTTGGAGTTTCTAGGCAATCCACTTCCTTACCCTGTCCAGAAACAATTTGTATTTATTGCCTTGTTAGTTGACTCTATAGCGTGAAAAACAAATTCCACTCTATCAAAAAAGAATTTGATAACATCATCTACCTTTTCATCCGCCCTCCTGTCATCTTTGTTTTCAACTTGTGTAGGCGACACGAAATCGTCATCTTCAATTAGAACAGTCTGCATACCAAATAAATTAGTATCATATGATACAACGAAATTAGTTAATAGGAAAGCTTATCCAGACCTTCTGTTTTGATTTACTGCTAGCAGTACCATCTTCTATCTCATTATTGTTGATCCACTCTGCACTTATAACAAATGTTATATTATGTTGTCCACACCAAATCAAACATTTCAAAACATTTACCTTCTCTACATCTGTGTTTTCATCCATTTCAAGTGCATGGGTTTCATTTTTGGTATAGAGGTCCAAGATAGATTTGTCTCTTATCATTGCAAGTATCCCATACGAAACTGGACCTTTGTAAGAAGAACTTTCGTCTCTTGCTTTTATTTGAATTTTGAAGATTCCTCTTTGATCAGTCAAAGCCTCAATGTCCTCAGGGAAGTGGGTAGGGTCACCGTTTTCTGAAAATAAAAAACTTAATGAATTATCTTCCTTTTTCAGAATTGTTAGTGTAAAAAGTATTTTTTTTGAATCAACCTTTTCAACTTCCTTTCTTAATGTTGCTGCTGTTTTCCCCACAATATCTATACATTCCCTATCCCATAAGGTGAACGTAGCGTGACCTGAGTCATCCATGACACAAACTGAAACTTTGTACCTGCATACCGGAAGTTGGCAGATTAATGTTTGAAGTTAGTCTTAGTTTAAAATAGTGGAAAGTGATACATCTTAACAAATAACACAACCTCAACACTCCCTCGGGAATAGTCGTGTCACATGTGATGCATCTGAACCTTTCATCTTCTGGCTTTATTTTCTTGTTGCATGTTGGGCAGCCAAGGTAGCATCATTCCTTATAGTTGTCTAGTGATACAATATCACCAAGTAGCCAATAGGTTCCATCCTGTGTACAGAAGCTGTGAGTTACAAAAGGTGATCATTTTTTTTACAGTTTCTTTGCTTAAATCATCTTTTTACCTGTGGGTCCTCTAGCAAATCACTGATGTTTGTGATAGTAGCCTTTCCCCTAAAAACGTCCTCACTACCCTGACCAACTGAATTTGCAGTGAAGGTAGTCATTGTTGTATTGTCGTCATCTAGTCCAAACTGCGATTTGAAATCTTCAAACTCCGGGCTAGAACCATTTATTATCAACTTCGAAACATCATAAGATGTTCCAACCAAGACATGACCTGAATATGTTTGAAATCTTTCATCAGCCCATTTCAAGCCTAAATAAAAAACTTAAGATTTTTTGAATTAGTCCTTACCTTGATAGCGTCTGGGTCTACCCATTTGTAGTATGATGTAGATGGCTTCATTTTTATGAGCATCATAAAAATCAGTGAACTGTTCGCAGTAGTTGTTCCACAATGTGCATCCAATACGATTTCCACTACAAATAAAAAAGAGTTTCATCATAAACTCTCGATTTTTATGATAAACGAATACCATATCATAGATAAAATTAAGACAGTACTTTGGATCTTCCAAAGATAGTTCAATCAGCTTTTCTGGTTTCCCGTTAACGATTGGTGTTTGTACTGGAGTCTTCCCAGCGTACTTACCAATTACATCTGAAGAAAGACTGATATTAAACGGTGTGATTATAAAAAAGCGTTTAAGGATTTTTGTATATGAAATTACCGATAAGCAATTTGTCGTTGATGACTCTTAGACTCTGCAGCGCGTCAAATTGATGGAAATTGAACACTAAGTTTGGAAAAGTTGCTGAGTGCAAATCATAGACCGTAGTTTTTTTGAAAAATTCTAAAACATAAGGGTGTTCAGTAGTTTTGTAGTTGAAGTAGTTATCAAAAACTAAGAAGTTCTTGATTCTGAAACACTTGTTTTCCTGCAGTTTGTTTTCATACAAATGCATGAATGGCCTTTTCACAACAGCATGAA